TTTGCAAAGGCGCATTTTTTTTATCCAAAAATCCCAACGGGGAATAAGAGGATTTACAAAACCTCGACATTCCGCACTATGAAGGAGCATCATTTTCTGTTTTGTCCCAYGCACGGCACGTCAGCCCTGCAAAACCAGCTTCTTCTGATGAAGATGAAGGAGTAACGCAGGAGAACGTAGTTAACATGATGACACAGGAAGCATCATTTCTAGCCTGCAAACATATTTCTCTTGATCCTCAGAACACCGTAGTTAACCAAAACGAATCCGTCTCAGTTAGGATCAGCTGCGGCATGTCGATATTTTGTCATTTCTTCGCACGGCAGCTGCGCTTTTTTTAACATCTCCTCCTAATTCTGTTTTGACTTGGAGCGGCTTAATTACAAATATCTTCATCAATGCCACAGGAGTAAGAAATCCACCAAATTCCATGCATTTCAAGCCRAAGCGTGAGCCCTAAGTTTCAAACGCCTCTGAATCACGGAGCACATGGGTGTTATATCTGTATGGAGAGAGAGAAGGGAAGAAGGATGTGGGTATGCACACAACCTTAAACTATTACAGATAAAACCTGAGAGTTAATAGGAGAAATACACACACATATATATGTGTGTATATCTGTATATGTATATGTGTATTGGAGATATAGGAGAATTTCTAGGTGCCTGTAAACCAGGGATAAAAKGACTTTTTTTCTAGTGTTTAGTAGGATTTCTGCTTTGCATCTGCAGGATATTTCGTGAATCTTGATTCATTTAARCCGACGGCATCCCCGTAAAGCACCGACCCGTTTTCCAGGTGGGCTCGGTCCCGGCGCAGGAGCCTCGCTGGGAAACAGGAGCCGCGTGGGAGCAGACGGCCCCGCCGGCTCCCCGTGGCAGCAACGCTGGCAGACCCTGCCCAGCAGCAGTAATTAATGCCGCGAGTGAAAGGCGAGTGGAATATTTCCGCGGAGGGGAAGGAGGAGGTGACCCGCGGCGCTGACTCGCTCCCCTGCCCCGGGACATGAGCGCGCCCGGCATCACCACCCAGCAATAGCAACTGCGGAGACCCTCGCCAAGCAGAGAGCTGGTGCAATGAAATACTGATTGCAAAAGGCAGCAGGTTTTAGGGTTTTCTTATCCAGCTCCTTTTGCTCGCCCAGCTGCCCTGGAGGAGAGCAGCCTCGAGGTGCCCTTAGTGGCGAGCTGGGGTTTCTCTGTTAYTCCTCTAGACCACAGGGCTGGGACAGCACATGGAGTAATTAATTTTGACTTACAGAAGCTGTATTAAATTGGATAGAAATGGGTGAAAATAGGATTAGGAATGGAGTTTAGCCAAGAGCAAACAGAATTAAAACTCTCTAAGAGCAGGTCAACACAGCTGATATCACTGATGCGATGGAAGTCGACAGCCTGGGACATTTTTGAGCGGTAGCGTAATGTCAGAAATTGTAACCTGCCTAGTGCCCGGCCAGATCAGGAGAATGAAAAAGCAGCAAAAAAGTGATTTTTTTGTTGTTGTTTGTTGGACTTCTGGCTGCTCTATCTGCTCTGAGCTTAGTGGCTTCCAAGGATTAATTCTGAAACAATTGTGMAGAACAAGCGAGTCTCCATAAACCCCAGCCGACCGAAATGTGCACAGCGCTTTCAACACATGCCCTGAAATCTAATTAGTATGGGATTATGCTTGTCACAAATCATCAGAAATAGAAGGACTCTTTAAATGAAAGCCAGCTCCTCTCCCTGAAATCCTTGCAGGCCCAAAGACAATCCAGGTTGAGAACATTTGATTACAGGAGCTGGGGGACCAAGTCCCCCAATGGTGTAAACTGGAAGGTCTCTAATTGATGCAATATCAGTCTGTGGTCAGGAATGTAGAAGTGTTTGGATTGGAGTCTCTGGCTGAGTCCAGTTTTGGTGCAAGGAAACAGGGACACAAAAGTCTGCTTGGGTTCAATCTGGAAATCTGTGTCTCTGCTCTGTGCATTTCCCGTGCTTTATTCCAATGTGAATCCTGCAAACCAAGCTGGCCCGTGCCCTGCTCTGCCTCTGCAACTGTGAAACGCCAGGGAAGTCAGTCCATGTTTAGCCCCACTGCAGATTGTGGAATTTACCGAGTAACATCCAAAAAAAAATCCGATGTGACACCTTTGCACGAGGCATTTGCTTTCCGAACAGTGTTAGCTGGGGAGCACAGAGCTTTCCCAGAGTTTTCCATCTCCCTGCGTTGTGTGGCTGTATTAAGCAGGGGCTGGATGGAGGGTCACGGCTGGACGTGCCGTGTCGGCTGAAATCCTGCTCTCATGCTGGAATCCCGCTCCTGGGGCTCCTGGCGCTGCACAGAAACATGAATTTCAGTTGTTTTCTTGAGGGTTTCCATGGTTTCTGGCACTGGGCTTAGCCCTTGCCCTGCAGTAGCTGCTCCACCTCGGAGATTCCCTTGGTCCGGGCACACGCGTCGCATTGCTAGGAAACCTCGGGCAATGTCCAAACAAGCAGCCGTGGACACTGTGCCCAGGGCGAGCGGGGGGACCGAGGGGGTCCCCACACCTCSTTCTGCTGCTTTTTATATAGGGCCAAGGGGGGACTGCAGGGTGGGTCAGAGGGGGCTAGACGGGCCTTGGGAATTGCCCACGGGGCAGTGTGGCCGGGTTTGCACCCAGCTCTTCCCTGCTCCAAGATGTACGAGCGGAATCGCTGGCTCGGGAGAGCAGGAACCTCCCACCGGGGTTCGGAGCCCGGGCAGCTGCAGGAGCACAAGTGCAAAAGTGCGGCAGCGGCCTCGGCAAAACAAACCAACCCACTTTAAACACCTCTCCGAAAACCACCTCTGTGAGCCCCGGGCACCCAGCTCGTCTGGGGCTGCCGAGCGGGTGGCGAAACCCTGTTTTGGGTGCTGCTTCACTGCCAGAAACGCTGTTTTTGTYGGTTACTGTGCAACCCCGCAGGTGCTGCGCGGCTTTGCAGCYTGCGGAGATCAAAGCCCGTGTGCTGGCAAGCTCGCCGGCTGCTCGCACGCTGCACCCTGCTTGAGCCCAGCCCAGGGCTGGGATTTACGCTGCGTGGGTCAGACACAGGCAAAAATCTGCCCCGTGTCCAAGGGGCGCTCGAGGAAGCCTCGTTGCAGAGCAATGCACGTGCTACGAATTGAAAACTTAGGCTCAGGTTTTGCAGCGAGGAGGTGACGCTTTTCCAGAGTCCGAGGGGAAGGGGGCGAGCGCGATTCCTGGTCCGTGATTCCTGGTCCCGGCCGCATCCCGTCGCTGCGGCCCCGGCTCCGCTTTCCCTTCCTCCCTGCCGCCCCCGCCGCCTCCCCCTTCCTCCTCCGAAGGTAACTGTATCTCCGCTCCGGCATGCATTCCTCTATAATAAGGTATTATGCCGCTATTTATATGCATCTTAGGTGCAGTCTGAGGCAGCTGCTGCTCTCCCGAGCCCTGGCCGAGGAGCATAAAATTGAATTGAGTGAGGAATGTGCGGGTGCGCCTGGACATCTGCACCCAGCCAGGGCAGCCCTTCCTCGACCCCTTCTTAACAGGCAGCGTTTAGAGCCGTGGCTCCCGCCCGYTCCGCACGGCTGCTCCCGTGGGCATCCCACCACCCGCCCCGGCGCTGGCGGGGAGCCTCAGGGCTTTGCGATTTCCTCCTGCCCCCGCGGCCACGTGCCCGTGTCACTCTGCAGGCTTTTCACGTGGGTTTTTTTCACGTTGCGCCTTGTGGGTGCCCGTGGGCCCCGCGCGTGTTCAGGGGACGGCTGCTTGTGTGAGGGGTGGTCCTGGAGAGCTGGTGTGTCACCCTAGAGGTGACAGGCTCATGGCAGGGGGATCTCCGTGTGCACGTGGCAGGGCTGATGCTGCCATGGGGGCTTGGATGCTCCTGCTGGGCAGGGTTGCACAGGACGTGCCTGGAAGTCTCTCCGTGCTCTCCGTGTCCCCCACTCRTGCTGCCATCCAACCTCACCGTGACCAGCACAACACAAGGACGCAGCTGGACGGGACCGAAATGGTGCACTTGAGCAGGACTTTCGAATTAAGCAATGTGGGCTGGAGTTCTGCACTGTGCCAGCTTGCAGGGATGATTCTCAAAGCAATGACCCTTTTGCCGTGCATGGACCTTTTTGGTCAGTCGTGAGCAACTTGCAGCACTCGTGTGGTGCTGGTGCATCTCCGGGGGCTGATGCTCCTCTCTGTTGCCTGGTCCCCCTGGAATAAACTCCCCATTCTGGACAGCCCAMATGGATTGACCATGGGGACTCCCGGCTTTCACCCAATCCTTTTGCTGTTACAAAGATTGTATTGCCTTTCCACTGCTTTGGCTTTGCCCCTTCCTGTCRGGTCCTGCATGCACCATGAGCAGCCCTGACACCAGCACTAGCCCTTGCTGAGCGAGGGCTAACGAGCTCGAACCCTGCACGGTGCYGGGGCTGACACCGGGCGAATCCAACGGCAAAGAGAGGCCGTGTTGGCTCCCACTGAAAGCAGCAGTTTTCCTTTCCTGATCCGACGGGGATGGTGACGCAGCCCAGCTGGTGGGATGGGGGGCAAGTGGCTGCTCTGATTAATCAGTCACCAGCACTGACGTTCCAGCCTCCGGCAGGAGCCAGCAGATAGCCCGGATTAGCCCTCTCGGCACCGACCCACGCTGCTGGGCACCCGGGAGACAACATGTGGGAGCAATCAACTCGAGGGCCCATTTAAGCGCCCTTAGGAGAGGGGTGGGTGGGCTGCTTTGTCTCTTTGGTGTTCAGACAGACCTCAGGGTTTCCTGAGGAGCTGGGCTGATATGGAAAATAGCAGCTCTTGGTGAGTTTAACAAGTTTCTTTTGAAGTCACAGAGCTCTCTTAGACTCTGAAGTTCATGAATGAGTTCTTTTCCAAGTGGGTTATTTTGCAAACAGCTCAAAAGGCTGCTTTTGTGTGATAAAGGATATGTAGCTTAGCAATGAATTTCTTCTCTCTTCTTCTTTTTTTTTTTTTTTTTTTTTTTTTTTTTTTTATCCTCCTGGAAATGGAGACTATCTCCAGTGTCCTTCAGGTGCCTTAAATGCTCCTTATATCCAAGAGCACCTTGTGTATCCTTGCTGGCTCTGGGATTTTCAAGCTCTGGACACCAGCAAAAGCACCTGGAGAATAACCCAGCGGACCTATGGCTTCTCTGTCCCTTGAAGGCTTTAACTTTGGGAGCCTTTCACAAGAATCTGTTAAGGCTCATGTGAGGGTCATGAGCTTGGTGTGGAAAGGTATGTCCTGTATTATGTGTGAAGCCAAGCTTGAAGATCATAATGGTCCTGTCTGGCTCTAAAAGAATCCTGTGTGATTTTTAGCTCTCTTTTATGTAGGAATTTCCTTGAACAAGGCTCATGGTGAAGGTGAAATGACAGATCAATGCTGAGGAATAAGTGGAGGCTGTGGGGAATGGCTTGGAGGGGGGAAAGCAATGGGAAGATGTCCTTGATACCTSCCCAGCTGCAACTTCCTGCTCGGACTGGAAAGTATCTGAGGAGTTGACCGTCAGGGGATTGCATGCCTCTGCCTTGCTTCCCTGTAATAAGTGAATAATGGGCTTGTAGGGCAAGCAGAAGGTGGAATTCCCAGAAATTATCATCCCCAGGAAGCACAAAGAAAGTCTCTGTCTGCCACCTCTCAGATGCCTAKAAATAGGAACAGCTTTTCAGTGGAAGAAAGGGCTTTCCTTCACTAAGCACGAGCTATAAACAAGCGTTTTTGATCAAGTGGCACTCCTGTCAGCATGGAGGAACGCCTCTGAAAGCAGGAATCCATCCAGGGCTGAGGAACCCAACAGGTTGCCATCAAGGATGTATTCTTCATAGTTCTCCTTTTTGTTGTTGTTGTGTTTTTTGATCCTCCAGTCTTTAGTTCCTGTGATGCTCCCAGAGCTCTTTTTCCCCTTGGAGATTTTTAAGGCATGTGGTGTGTGTAGTGTGAAGAGCCTTCAGGGTGGCTCAAGGGGTGAGAAAGGTTGGCCATCCTGTCCTAGCGTATATGTTCTGAGTAAAAAGATAAAATATGGTGTTTTCTTAACAGTTGTGCCTGAGGAGTTAATGAATTTGGCAACTAGGGTGTACATTTCCTCTCACCGCACTGCAGGCAAAATGTCTTTATGATTATGGTGAAAAATGAAAGAATGGGACATAGCCCTTTTGGGCATGCTCCTAAGAGCACTGTTGTGCTAAAGTAGCACAGTGGATCTAACTAGTGGAKCTGAACATTAGAGATGATTCTTTAGGGAGGGAAAAAAGTGAGATACAGCCACTTTTTTGGGGAGAAGGGGAATCAGATGATGGATTGAAAATGTTTTAATTTTCAAAAGTCTGATGGCTCAATTCTTATGTCAGAAGTGTGACCATGAAGCAAACTACTTCTGCTGTTTTTCTGCTACTACTTAATTTTCAGTTGCTTCTAAGTGTGAGATGGGTTTTGTTATTTGGCCTTTCCAGAACCACCATCTGTGTTAGTGGGTGGGAAACGAGGGACTTGGTGGAAGGAGTTGCAGATAGCAGATTGTATCCACCAATGTGCTTGAGGATCTCAAGGAGCTGCTTGAGGAGAATCTCAGGGTCTGCTGCTTTCAATCCTCTAATTAATGATGGGGATGCTCATGGTTATGAGCAGGGAGTGCTCTTATCAGAGCTGGGTGACATGTTAGATTTCAAAGTGTCCCAATGAGGCTGAATGTGTGGCCCCACAACAGAAGCTCTGTGGATCAACAAGAACATGGTACCATAAGAAAAACCTGCAAATGGGAAAAAATGGGTGGTCTGTAGTGCTTTGGGAAAGGACCTTAAGGTTATTATAGAGATCAGCTGAGCATGAATCAGGATCCTAATGGAGAGGGACTGGAGGAACAAGGGTGATTCAGCCTCAGGAAGGGGAAACTGAAAGATGAGGTGAGACCAGTCTTCAAAACGCTGTTGCAAGAAGAAGCAATGATAAGTTCTCTGCATGCACCATGGAGAGGATGAGAAGGAAAGGGCTTAAATTTCAATCAGAGAGGCTCAGATTGAAGTTTGCTGAAAGCTGCTAAGGGAGGGGAGGAAAAGAGTGAAGCRGTAGTAAAGGTCTCCTGTGGTCAAGTTTTGCCTGTTGAAAGGCTTTAAAAGCAGACTAGTCAGAAGTGATGGTGGAGAACTGATCCTGCCCCAAGGCTGAAGGGGAAAAACCACCCTGTTCCTCCCAGGTGCTGGTTTGGTGGCAGTAAGATCATCTGGAAGTGGTGTGTCCTTGCAAGCAGGTATCTCTTGATCACCTTTCACCAGCCTCCGCTGCCTTTTGCTTTTATGTTGCTTCTCTCGGATCCAATGCAAAAGGATCTGCGGTAACAAGTCGGAGCACGGGGACTGGAGGAAGGCTAATGTTTCAGTTTGCTTGTGTGCTAATCTGGATCGTCCTCTCCTAAATCCTCTTAAACTCTGTGTTTTTTCAATCACTTCTGTTTGCATGGGGCGTTACCAGGGCGGACAGAAAAGAAGAGCAACAGAAGATACCTTAACATGCAGCCAAAGGAGCTCCATTAGCCAACCAGCCCACTAAAATAGTTCTGAATAGACTCAGCTGCATGATCTGCTGATAATTTGATCTAAAAGTGTCTAGTCACTGCTCTTTCTTGCCCCTCCTATTGTCTGGTTGCGCACTGTAATTCCAGGCTTTGGTAGGTGGACTCGGTCTTTTGAGAGGACGGTGACCACGTAATCGTGGCTGTCATCACGGCCGAACCTGGCTCTCGAGTCAAAAATCTCCCCACTGCTCTCTTTTCATTTCCTGGCTCAGCATCAGGGGAAGAGATTATGTGATCTGATAGGTAAAATTATCCCATCGGAGGTGAATGTTCTAATAAAAGGCTTTTGCAGGCCCGGGTGTATGATATCCCTGAGAAGGCTRCAGTCACTTGGAGCCCTTTATTGAAGGGAATTCTCAGTCCCTATGGAAACCCAGCAGGACAAAAGCTGCCTCCGGCAGCAAAGACACCCACCGCTATGTGCACACGTACAGAGGTCAGGGATGCAGAACTGTTGCGTCCGCCTGTTCGGGAGGTGGGAGGAAGGAACAACAACAACACGGCCTGATGTTGGGTGTTTGGCTCTGCTTGAGAGATGTATTTTCTCAGCTGGTGGGAATTTGAGGTGATGAGCAATACTTGGCCTGTGAATCCAGAGAAAAAGAAATCCAGAAGTCTCTGGTTATTTCTTTTATTTTTGGAGGGCTTGATGAGGTACAACAGATTTGGAGAAAGAAATGGGAAGCCTTTGGGGAATCTTTTCCCAAGATTATTGCCTCTGTTATCTAGTTACCTGTTTGCTTTTTGTGGTGTGTTTTGAAAGGTGCTTTAGCAAAGGGAAAAAACCTTCTGGTGTATGTTGAGTGATGCAAAACAGCAAGGGTGGAGGAGGAGACTTGCTGGGGACTCTGACCCGTTTCTACAGATGTCCTAGTCCTTGTCCTGTAACTGCTAGAGCAAAATCCCTGGGCTTCCAAGTGTGGAGTGTGTGTTGCGAGGGCTTGGACCCACTGCTGCTTCTCCGGCAGGTTTGGGAGATGTGAAGGAGGCCACACTGAGCATCTGCAAAGTGTGTTTTCAATTAAAAGAGGATGGTCCAAATGCACAGCAGGTTAAGCACTGCAGTGTGAAGCCTTCAAGCTGCTGCTCCATTGAGATGTAACCAGCAGTTTGTGTGTGATTGCAGGCAGGTGGTTCCTGTTCATATTAAAAATGAGTAATCCAAGCTCCCTGGAGGATTTCTTCAGAGATGATCTGGACAGACCTGGAAGTCCAGTGTGCCTTTCAAACCATAACTGTTTTCCCTCAGCATCCCAGAATCCTCCTTTCTAAACATATTTTAAGGAGCTCTTGGCCAGCAGGTCAGGATCATCTCCCTGCTTTCAGGGTGGGGAAAACCTGTTGCTATAAATCAAGAAAACCCTCCAGGGAAACCTGAAGGAGCCTCCCCAGCCTTGCTGTCTTGTTTCCCAGMCCTGCTGTGTCTCCATGGGATGAGGAGGTTTTCATTTATCCCTCAGGTTCTGTCTGGCCCACCTGGGCTTTCCTGCAGCTCCTCAGGGGTGGSTTATGCTCATAAATCTTTGCAATACTTCGATGTCCCTTGGTGTGGACGGTTTCCTGCTGGTCCCTTGCAAAGGATTTGTATTGCTTGCATGCAGCGAAATCACTGCTGTGCTGCAGGGCCTGCCGGGAGCCACCTCTGCAGGAGACTCCTCTGTCTGCAGGTGTGTGGGACACCTCTGTCCATCCATCTCCCTGCAGGGGCTCTTCCCCTCGCTGCCCCTTTGGGAATAATCTGTCTCTTGCTGTTTGCAGCTGGTGCTGCTAGGCCRGGCTGTTGGGTTTCCCTGTTACACAGGGCTCCTCCTGCCCTGCAGCCCATGCCTTGTCCCAGCAATCAAGAGGCTGGTTCCCCCCGCTGGTTTTGCTGACCCCCCAGTGCAAGAAATCATCTTAACAAATTGTTTCCCTTAATACCTCAACGCAGCCAGGCTGTTACTGTGCTGCTTGATTAAACATCTCCTGGATTCCCGGGGCTGACGTGGCCAGCAGCGTGTGCATGGGGCTGTTCCTCGAGTCCCTGTGTTGGGACGCCCGAGCTCCTTGCAGGCTTTGTGGCTTCAGCTCCCTGATGCCTGCAAGGATGGTTGTTTGGGGATTGACATCCCCGAGCTCCAGCCTCGCTCCTTTCTGCAAAAAAAGAGGAAAAAAAAATCTAATATTTTAAAAAAAGGTTTGAGGGCTGCATTGCAGTTTAATTCGATCACCCAGGGGAATAAAAGAATACCACATGCAGAGATCTTTTACTTAACATTGTGATGTTTAATCTTGCCCAGTCAGCAGTTTTTGAACATATTCCAGGAAAGCTTTTAAGCCTGATAAAGCTGGGGCTTTTGCATTTTCAAGTGATACTTTAGCTACAAATGACATGCTCTACTTGTCATTTGGCTTTAAAGGAAGGTAATTAAAATCTTCCTAAGAATACAGTTACACTAGGGAAAGAAATAACCTAAAGTAAAATAAAGGGAAAGAGAGAGAAGCCCACAAAAATGCAATTTAGCAGATGAAAAATGTAAAGGAAAACTGTTAAAAGATAAAAGTATGGCATGCACAATAGGAGTTTGCTGAAGGAGGGCTAAGCGATATGGGAGTCCCTGTGACTTGTGCAGGGAAAGCACGGGCAAGCAAGGGACTTCCCAGCACGCTTGGGACTTTTAGGGC